GAGAGAGAGAGAGAGAGAGAGAGAGAGAGAGAGAGAGAGAGAGAGAGAGAGAGTTGGAGGGGCAGAGTGGAGGATGGAGAAGAGGGAGGAAGAGGAGAGAATTTTTGATATTGATCACAGGCATTAAAGTAATTATCTCTGATTAAGGTTAAGCTTTGATGCCAAGGAAGCAACTTGGATAGTGGCGTGAGAGCTGGTTTGTTTATTGCCTGTTGAATACATCCATTTTCTTTAACAGTTACTGCATTGCCAGCATGGTGATACTCACTTGAGCACAGACTAAGGCATGTCCCCTTGCATACACCTCCTGAGTTCTCTTGATGTTGATGTCTCTCCTGTGGAATTATCCAGGGCCAAATCAGCATGTGAGTTAAAAGTCCTCCCCTCCCCAGTTCTAACTGTAAGCCTGTCCTCCTTGCAGATCCCAGTCCGGTTCCCTCCTCCTCCAGTACCTACCACGCCATCATCGGAGGGATTGTGGCTTTCATCGTCTTCCTGCTGCTCATTCTGCTCATCTTCCTTGGACACTATTTGATCCGGCACAAAGGTCAGAGGCATCAGGAGGACTTGGGTGTGTGGGGAGATCAGTTAGGAAAGGACAGACAGTAAGAGGGCTTTCAGACAGGGCCCTGTCTGAGAAAGAAATACAGCCAACCCATACAATGCCAAGGCTGTGATCACTGAGCAGCATCAGCAACCCCACAGTCAAGCCTGATCACTTGGTTAACATCCAAGTACAATTAGACCTGCCCACTCAGTCAGCTGCTTCTTGCTGCTCTACATTCGGCCGAGCCCCTTCCTTCTTGCCCTCGTCTTCTTTTCCATCTGTTTGGCTTCCTTTCCTCTCTTTGGTCTCCTTCCTCTTCATACTCATTCATAGCTTTCCTTTTCTCATTGTTTTACTTTCCCTTATATTCTGGTACTACATGCAGCCAGCAGCCTAGCTGTCTAGCTAAGACTGGTCATGCTTAAGTCATATCTCCACTACATACACACACACACACACACACACACACACACACACACACACACACACATCTCTTTTATCCCTTGCCTACATTATAGATGAGATTTTAGTTAAAGGCAGAATTCATTATTCATGGGGGTGTGGTCAGGTGAGGGATGTTGGCAGCAAAATGCAAATTAGAGAAGGCGGGATGGAAGAGAGCTCTAGGCAAGAGAGAGATGAGATGAGCAATGTGTGAGTGGGTGGGCAGGAAAGTGGGCAGGGTGGACTCTGGAGGCTGAGAAGCTTCTGAAAAGAGGAGCTTCTATCTCCACACAGGAACCTACCTGACACACGAAGCCAAGGGCTCTGACGACGCTCCAGATGCAGATACGGCCATCATCAACGCAGAAGGCGGGCAGTCAGGCGGGGATGACAAGAAGGAATATTTCATCTAGGGGCACCCACTCATCTCCTGCGCCCCCCCAAGGGGCCCCATGGGGACTGCTGGGCTGTCACCAACCTGGACTTGTACAGAGCGACCCCAGGGCCGCCCCTCCCGCTTGCTCCCCAGCCCACCCAGCCCCCTGTACAGAATGTCTGCTTTGGGTGCGGTTTTGTACTCGGTTTGGAATTGGGGGGGGAGGAGGGCGGGGGGAGGGGTGGGCCGCCCTCAGCCCTTTCCGTGGCTTCTCTGCGTTTGGGTTATTATTATTATTTTTGTAACAATCCCAAATCAAATCCGTCTCCAAGGCTGGAGAGGCAGGGGCCATGGGGGTGAGGAGAGCAGCAAATCTGCCATGTTCGGAGAAGGAAGTTGGAGGCTGAGAAACAACTGAGGAACAGGGCTGGTTTGCAGGTGGGGGCTTAACACGGCCCTCCTTCCATGTGCACGGCCGATCTGCCTGCCAGGCGTCTCCAAGGAGCTTGGGAATATGGCGGCAGGGGGCTAGTGGTGGCTCTCTCTACCTCTGCCAGCCATGCCTTGTGAGCTAAAGGCAGGGAGACAGGTGTGACACCACCGACACCCCTCTACCATTACATAAGAAAGGAATGAGTAGGAGAGTCCTCAAGAAGACATGAACTGAAGATGGCATGCAGCCACACAGGGACCCAGGGCTTCAACACGTCCCTCCCAGAGAGAGTAGATTTCCAGAGAGAGAGGTCGGAGGAAATGGCCCTGTCCGTCCCCCCACACGATGAATGAAGCTAGGCTCTTTTCACAGAATCGGCCCTTGGGGGGCGGGGGAGGACAGCGGAGCTCAGCTTTCTCTCCTTGCTCCAGCATTTGTGGGAGAGGCACTGTTTCTGGGCCTGGACAGCGTCTGCTTCCTGCACCTCGGAGGGGGCCCCTCACTCTTACCCAAGACCCTGGACTGTTGCACGGCAACCGCTCCTCTCATGGCATTGCTCAGCAACGACTCCTCCACCCCGTGCCACCCCATGCCCTCTCCGGTTCCCTGTGCCAGCCCTCAGTCCCTCCTCCCTCAGCAGCCAGGCAGACATGACAACAAAATTACTAAAAGGAGCTTCGCTGCAGTGAGCTGTTTCCTGCCCAAACCGAGGGAATAATGTGAACTCTGTGCATGTGTGTGTGCGCGCGCGCGTGTCTGTGCGTTTGTGTAAGTGTGCGTAAGTATGCATGGGTGTGTGTACATGTGTGTTTGTGTGAAGAACAAGAAGCAAAGGGATTGAGGAGAAGGACCAGGGGTCTCGGGTGGGTGACAGGGCATGGAACATGTGAGGCATGAGGTGGGCTTTGGGAGTGGGTGGTTCCTAGTCAGGGTTTGTACCTCACCTAGGGGGCGCTGCTCTGTCCTAGTCGTTTCCAAGTCACTCTCGCTGCCTCTCTGAGCGAGAGGGAGGTTCCAGGATGCCGTTTGCCCAGCTGTGCATTTTGCCCCTCTCTGAAACACCCCTCACTCGCCATCCTTCCCTGGACCTCCCACCTCTGAGCCACGGAGCCAGGGCCACAGCCTCTGCTATGCACCTCTCAAGCCTCTCTCCCTGGCACCGACTCTGGATTCCCATCCTTTGGACCCAGTGGCTAGAGGACTGGGTCCCCATCTCAGCTTTTGGTTTACTGTCTTCCTTCTATGGCCAAGCTGGTTGCTGTGGAGATGAGATTGCTCACCCTCGCCATCCAGGCTGGCCCATCCCTCAGACCCGGGATGCCCTTGGCATCACTCACCCCCCCCCCTCCTCCAGCATGTCCTCCCTGCTCTGACAACAGGTGTGCAAAATGGGGCGGCTGCAATCCAGCAGGCCCGCCTACTCCTTCAGTTCAGGTAACACTTTTGTGAATCTTCCAGCCCCTGGTTAGGGTCCTGGGTACCCCAGGCAGCCCCTCGCTTAAGCCAGGGATTCTCCTCTTATAGCAGCAAGGGAAGCCCTGGGCCCCAGGCCTGTCCAGGCTCCTCATCTCCCTCCCAGCACCCGCTTTTGGGAAAACGACTTTTTTCTCCTTGAGCTGAACCACTCTGTCCATATTACACAGAAGCCATATTTGTACTGGGCGGGCGGGGGGGCGGGGCAGAGGGGGCCGTTGTGCTGTGTGTGTCTGTCTGTGGGTGGGGGCGGGGGCAGGGGGCAGGAAGGGGATCGTGTATCTTTATAATCTTTCTAACTCTCCTGTGCTAATCTCAGAGGGGCCACCCTCAATATATCTGGATTATCCGTGTGGTCAGGCTGCCTCCTTTCTGCTGCTTGCACTGCTGGCTGGGCTGCATGTCAATCAGGGCTGCCCTCATGTCCCTGGCACCCGGCACTCGAAGGGTATGGCATCCTTGCCATGCCGCTCCTCGGAGCACCTGTGTATGGGATCAAGGGAGAGAGTGTCTGAGTCACCTGCTTCCCAGAGAACATTTGGATTTCAAGCATGTCATCCGACTGCTACCCTGTCACCCTCTGCCCAGCGATGCTGGCCAACACCGTGATGGAGGTGAAGGCCCCACCAACCCACCACCCAGGATGGAGAGCATCATCAGTTTTTGCCAAACTCCCTTTCTAGCTCTCTCCTGTTAAACCTGAAACTCGACCTGTGTACTCATCCTTTTGCACCTCAGGTTGAGGGGATTACTGAGAATCCACCTACTGAACATGTATTCCGCATTTTTTTTTTTCCTGGCCAGAGAAATAACAATTCTACCTCCCATCAGAAACTTCACTTATTGCTAAAATGACAAGCCAATGAACCATTCCCACAGTCTGTATGTCTTACAACAATATGAATAGAGATTACCCAGTGGGCTATAGTCTCACATTAAAGTATGCTGTCCCACGGTCCCCCAGAGCCTATTTTGATGTGTCAGACCATGTGTTCTGCTTGGTGTGAGAGATGCATTCATTGAGTCCATAGGTGGTAAGGCAAACGCCCAATTGCTCCCTGAAGGAGACTCGTTACACAGCCTTGACAGGCCTCCAATCTTCTGTCCCTCTCACCCTGCAGCGCCTGTACCTCTAGATAGCAAAGCACACACCCAGGCACCACCCAGCAGCTAGCACTCAGATGGAGACACACTGATACCCAGCACAGGGACGCAGATAAATAGGTGCATTCCCCTGCTCATTCTACCACACGCAAAAGACCTCCGTTTAAATGCATAGTCTCAGTCTGGACAGAGCCAACAGCAAATGCCCTTAGCACAACTTCCCTGCGAACAGGGGAACTTTTGAACTCTTTCCTTGGATCTCATTCAAAGGAATAGAGAACAGAGAGAGTTAGCAGATGCCCGGTCACTCCAACTTCCCAGCACCTCTTTCTTATCTCTGCTTCCTGTGTAACCCCTGGCCCCCTCATCCTTCCTTATTCCTGAAGGGTCCTCCCTTGCTGGAAAGCTCACTGACTTCTTCCTTGCCACTTTTGGGAAAATCCCCCCTTTTGTGGCCTTCACCACGTTGTTTTCCTGAGGTCATTCTGACCAGCCAAACCCAGCTTCAAAACAGGAAGCTCCAGGACAGTACCCTGTGTTAGCCTAAGGTTTAAGTAGGCAGTCCTGAGTGTGACCCCCACACATATCCCGGCTCTGCCCAGAACCAGAGAGCATTCATTAGCCCTGGGCACTTATCTTGGAGCCACAGCTGCTGACCGAGAGTCCTGGCCCTGTACTCTGCCTGCCCTGAGCCTGCAGTGCCATGGGGAACTGTCTGCACCCGGTGAGTGTGGGGGCCGTGCTCCGTGACCCTTGCCGCTGTCCCGTTGTCCCATTCCTTCTACCTCCTCTGAATTCCATGCCGTTCCCTCTTTTGACCATCCCCTAACCCTGCATTTCTTTCTTTCTTTTTAGTTTCAAAACTCTTTTCCCTTTCTCTCCATACCTCAGTTTCCTATCCCCACCCCATTTGTTCTCTCTCTCCCTCTCTCT